TGAATCTCTTGTGTTTGAATTTTTTCATCCTTGATGAGATGGGGGAAGTTTTCTTGAATGATTTCATGAAATGTTTGATCCAGTGTGGCCGCTGTTTCTCTGTCTGCCTCAGGAAGGCCAATTACTCTTAGGTTTTTTCTCTTGAAGTGATCATTCATCTCTTGAAGGTTTTGTTCTGTCTTTTTGAGCTTCTTTTCTATGCTTTTGACAGTTTGGGTTAGTTCTGTGTTTTGGTCTTCGAGCTCTGAGATTCTTTCTTCTGCTTGACTAATTCTGCTTTCCACGATTATTAGTTTGTTATTTATTTCCATCACAGTATTCTTTACTGCTGTTATTTCTGACATCAGCTCCTTCCTATTTTCCTCTTGTCTCTCCTCAGTTTTTTAAATTCTCTCTAATAATGTCCTGATGTCTGGGTTTGTTGCATGTGACCAGTCATTCTGGGGTCTCTTCATTGTTTGTGTTCCAGAACCTGTTTGCTCAGTGTCTGATCTCCCAGGGGTCTGTGTGAGACCTATATTCTTCTTTTGGTTTTTCTTCATTTTTGCGGTTTTTTTCCCCTCCTTACTTTTTCCTTCCTTCCACATCACCATCTTCTTTAATTCTGTTATTCAGGGGTAGAGGGATTGCTTTTACTTCTGTTTGTTCAATCTCCTATTCTTCTTTATGTATGCCCTCTTACTTTGTTCAATTCTGGAGTTGCACTGTAGGTTGGGGGTGGTCCTTTTGCAGTTTTGAGATTTACTTAAGGGGGGAGCTGTGATTCAAAATCGATCTGCAGGTCCTGGTATTTGCCAACAGGTGTATGGATAATTTGAAACCCACTTCCCACTGCCTTGGGATCTGTCCATGCAGTGAGGCTGTAGGTTTACTCCCTGAAATAAAATGAGGTTAGCAGAGGGAAGAGAATGGAGCAGACAGTGGGGGGAAGAGGGGGGTGGAGAGATAGAGGAGTAAGGGGGGGAAACAAATGAGTGTACCAACAAATGGAGAGAGAGACCTATACTGAAACAGATAAAAACAATAGACCACAGCTACAGACTAACCAACTCCCATACAAAAAGAATAAAACATATAATGACACTAACATACAAGCTAACCAACCACTTTATTGGTGTGCTTTTCCTCTATAGAAATGTATGGTTTACAGAGAGGAGAAAAGAGAAGAAAAGGAAGAGAAAAAAAGGAATAATGCAGTAGAAATAGAATTAAGTCATTAAACTAACTGAACCAATCAAGCACACTCTGAGACTTTTCGTTTAAGTTCAATGTCCTTTCAGCTCTGATTTCTAGCTTTCTTTTCAAGCTGGTAAATTAGTTTGCAGTTAGGGTCAGTTGCCCCTGGCTTGCTGTGAAGGACAGTTCAGATCACCCTCCATTCACCACTCTGGCCTGTGTCTATTTTTCAAGCTTGTTTCTCCTGTTTTGGTGTTGTTACCTTGAATTGCCAGAAGGTGGTGCTATCTCAGCTGCTCACTCCAGAGTGGGTGGGGCCGGACAGGCACCTGGCAGAGGCCAGAGATGGAAGCCTGCCTCAGGGCACAAGGAGGAGACCCACAGCAGGCAGGACGTCTGGGTCACAGGAAAGATGGCAGTGATCCCAGCAGATCTTGCCTGCAGGGGCTTCAAGGATGGAAGTCGTGGATCGCCTGCACTGCAGTGGCTGTCCAGACTGCTGCAATGCCCCAGCAGTGGCAAGGCTGAGCTCCGTGTGAAGAGCAGGCTGTGATGTTGGGGTCCACAGCCCCCGGGGAGAGAGTCAGAGACCTTCTGCGTTCTCCTTTGCAGAGGGTTTCATAGACCAGGTTGCCTTGTCACCATCTTGCCGGAAGTCTATCTTTATTTCTTTTAGGGAAAATATGGAAGTATTTTCAGTGGAGGAATAAATAATCTTCTTTGTACCAGGTAGCTTGAATCAACAAGTGAAGATTTTCATGAGAATTTTGGAAAAATTTGATGCCCCTCACTTAAGGACCTTTGTATATATGGGACACTACCCAATTAGGGTATAGTCCCTTTGGTAGTGAGGAGGAAGAGTGGAAATCCACCCTAGGAGACTTTTTGTCCAAGCAATAAGAAGTGATCTATTTTCCAGTCTCATTTTAGCACAATACTGCTTGATGTCCTAAGGTCCAATCCTTGACCCTTGGAAATAGGAAATTGGTAAGGTATTTGTATACCTCCTTTCTTTTATATGTTTTAAGATTGTAAAGGTCTGTGTCTGATAGTCAAGTGGCGCTTGCCAAGCCTCTTAGGGGATGAGTCAGATTGTCCTTTCGTGGAGCAATAAGATAAGCAGATACCCAGGAGTTATCATTTTGTCTCCAGGAACTTCTTTTGGGGGAAGAAAAGTT